CCCAGGGTCACAGAGCTTCCTAGTATCAGAGCTAGAACTCAGGTTTCCTGACTGCACTCCCCTTATCTCTATAACCCCATATATCTGTGGCATACTTTTAGCTTTTCAAAGTACTTTCATACAATTATTGTGTTTGTTTTGTAATCCCATGCATTTTGTTTTATGTATTGAAAAATATTACAAAGCAAACCAAAGGTTGTTGAAAATTAAAATGTATGTGTGTGTTTTTTATCCAAGTTCACTGATCCTGAAATCCTATAGGAACATTTTCCATTGACTCCTGCTTAAGAACTCCTGATTTAGAGGATCATAGTATTATAGATTTAGAGCCAGAAGGAAACTTGGAGGCCACTGAGTTCAAACCCCTCATTTTACAGATGAAGGCATGGAGTGAAGAGGTTAAGTGACTTGCCCAGGGTCACTCAGCTAATAGTGGCTGAAGAAGGATTTAGAACCTAGGTCTTCCTGGCTTTAAGTCTGATGCTCTGTCCATTACTTCCCAATGTGGTCTTCCTACAGACACTGGCAAGAATGATCCCGATTTTGAATTGAGAAGAGAGTTAAGTTAGTTGGTTTACTGTATCCCCTTCCTCTTGGGGGCAAAAGTAGCTAGTAGAAGCAGGAAGGCAAGGTCATTCACTGTCCTCCAAGAGTTTACAGCCTTCCTAGGTTGTCAAGAGGAGGATAGGTAAGGAGAAAGTGAGTCTGAGAAAAGTCAATAAACAAGGAACAAAGATCGATGGCTGATAAAGGAAAATCTGGCCTAGGAGGAGAAAGGTGATCCTATTCTCAGAGCTGCTTCTCTCCCTGGAAATCTCATCATTTCTCCTTTTCTTCATCCATTTTAGTCACATGTGGTTGAGGAGGGTACAGAGAGAAGTGGTATTCCACACATCCAGCACAGCCCTCCAGGTTGTGCTTCACAGATGAGTGGACATGCCATAACTCCTAGACTGTCATCATTCTTGGAGGGGTGGGGTGGGGAACGGAAAGGGAATAAGTATTTCTACAGCTATTCCTATGTGCCCAGCATTGTGCTGAGCACTTTCACAAATTTTATCTCATTTGAGCCTCAAAATAACCCTGGGAAGTGGGTGATATTAT